GGGGGGGGGGGGGGGGGGGGGGGTCTTTGCGAAGAGTTAATTGCAAGTTTATATCTCGTAATTCTAACTTCATAACAAGCAATTGAGTTATAAAGTCAGAATTGTAAGATATAAACACAATTCTGAGAAAAAAAGTCAGCCTATTTTCCACGGAATTGGATTTTATAACTCAAAATTATGAGTTTATATCTCGCAATTCTAAGAAAAAAAAGGCAGAATTGCAAAATATAAAATCACAATTGCAAGAAAAGTCAGAACTGCGAGTTTATATCTCACAATTCTGACTTTACCTATTTCTCACAATTGCGAGTTTACATCCCACAATCTGACTTCATAACTCAAAATTGTGAGTTTATATCTTGCAATTTCGAGAAGAAAAGTCAGTTTATGTGGCAGAATTGGGCTTCCATATATTGTCATAAAATTAACTAGATATTTTAAAATTCAAATAGATATCAAGAATTATGTTTTTTACTAGTTGAAATTCAGTTTTTGATAAGAATTTGTATTCATGCGAGTAATTCACCAATTTCTGATTTCATAATTTTACTAGTGGAAATGTAATTACTGACATCAATAGCTCTTTTACTAGCAGAAATTAAATTTCTGATATCAAAAATTTGCATTTTAACTATAGTAAAAAATGTTATTGTTGATATGAAATTAATATCCTGCAAATTATTAAGTCAAATCAGCCTGCAAAGGTATTACATATCATTGCAAAATTCTACTAGTGAAAATGCAATTAGAGTTAGTTACATTTTAGGACTTTACTATCCCATGTTACTATTGCACCTGCCTGAGATAAGTGGGGAACAGTGTAGAGCATTTTGAATGGTGGTACCAGGGGTGGAGAGGAGAAGGTATAGAGGGAAAGAGATCTCAGCTTCATTGGGGTCATCAGGTGGCCATCCCCCTTCCTTGGTGTTTCGATGATATCAGCCCACAACACCTGCAGAGGGCTCATCAGCAACAACTGGCATCAGGTGTGCCCCCCTCTGCTTTCACCTCTGTTGTTATGGGGCCCAGACGGCTTCCCTCCTCTTAATCCAGAGCCATCTACTCTCTTGTTCTGTGGCACTGGAAAGGGCCTTGACAGCTTGCTGTTGGGTTTGGCCTCAGATTCCAGTTCCTTGAACAGTTTGATGGCAGATCTTCCTATAAAGCCCCTGCAGCAAACCTTTGTTTTCCAGCCACATCGCTCCACATCAACTGCCAGCTCAGAATACTTAAGGCTCTTGCGCTCGTAGACCTCTTCCACCGCATCCGTCCAGGGCACATTGTGCTTTATGATGTACACAGAACATAATGAGGAGGACCAAAACACAAGGTCTGGTCTGAGGTTGGTAGCTGCAATTTCGGCCAGTAAACTGAGCCTGTGATTCAGATCAACAGAAAGCTTCCAATCGCAAGCTTCTCTCAGCTGATCAGTATTTGCGGTCTTCACCTTGACCCCACTTGCCCCTTCACCCACAAACTCTTTTGAAGAACTACAGATTTGAAGAACTAAATGTTTTACTTTTCTGTGAGTGATGATGCCATTGTTGTTATGAAGATCTAACAATTTTACTGGGAAAAATAAAATCCCTGATATCAATAATTCCCATTAGTTAAAATTCCATTATTGGTATCAAGAATTATAATTTTTACTTGTGAAAACTGAATTGTTGATATCAACATATCCTGGGAATGATTCAAAATGGCTTGCCATATGAAGAG